AAGACCAAATTCAATTCATATATTTCAAAGTTACTTTAAATTTATTTCCTAATGGAAGCTCTTATTATAAAATTAACTTTTTTAGCAGAATAAGGCCTCATCAGAGAGTAAAAGTCATTTGTTTTATAAAGGCAAATTCTACTATAGTTACTCCAGAAATCATAAAAAAACTAGTAGAGCAGTATATAAAATCATTTAGAAACTAAAATGTTTTGTCTTAGAAAACTAGATGATATAAAGGTTTCAAGAGGTAATTGTGTTTTTTCAGTAGAGCTCTAAAATAAGTTCCTTTAGCTCAACCAATATTTACAGAAGACAACATCAACAGAAATCAGTTTCACGTCAAAAATCATTACATATTGCACAGCACCTTGGGAACCTCCATCCTGATGAGCACTGTTTGAAAATCGTGTTTTCCATCAATTAAATCTCAGATAAATGAAGCTGTTCTTGAACAACTTAGAAAACAATTTAAAGAGTTGGCTGTTCATGTCAGATCACCATAGAAACCTTTACTGGGTTATGCAAAATATCTGGGGGCTTTTGCAGTCCCAAAATCAAGAATGGGTCAGGAACAAAATGGGGTAATAAGGAGTTACATGGCACATGATAGTGTTTGACCTCCAGCCTTGTGGCCAGGTGTGACATCAGCAAAATACCTGTATTCCAGATTAATTCAGAATTGCAAAAGGCAGAGTAAACTAGATGGCTCAAGACCCTGCTTCTCAGGTGACTGATGGCAGGCTTGGATAACAGATAAGACCGACTTTAGATTAGCAGAACCCCTACATTTCTCATGTTCCTCCACTGCAGTGCTCCTTAGCAAGAGATCAGCTTTGTTCTCAGTATCTCTGAGCTGTGATGATGTGAGCCTCATAGAGGAAAGAACAATATCAACCTTGTGAAAGAAGATCTGTAAACAACGAGTAGCATTGCATTGTTGCATGATTTATTTTAAGCATCACACAGTAAAAGCTTACTGAATCATACACAACAATCTGGCTGAGCTTCACCAGTCTGAATTTGGCCCATTGCTTTTGTCTAATACTCTGTACATGTTGGGCTCTGCACATTCATGTTCATGGTGTAACAGGCACAGAAAAATATCTGGATAACTAATTAATATTTGGAAAGCATTTGTGCGTTCCAAATTCTTTGGTTGTATAAAACAATTTAATTTTCATGTTTAGTGCAACAGCTTAATTGTCTGAACTGGCCATAAATTACAAAAATCTTAATAATTATTTCATCACAAGAGTGATTGTATGTCACATTTTCTTCAGAAAAATCTTTTTAAAAGTATGTGAAGTGCCTTATTTATATAATGAAAAGAAAAAAAAAAGTGTCCCTTCAACTGGGTTAATGAATTTAATTAAACTGATTTTAAAACACAGATAATGCTCAGATTAGCCTTCCATCCTGTGTTCCAGACAGAATCTAGATGCTCTTCTGATGTACATGATGATTCCCACAGGATTCCATAGTGACAACACTGTGTGTATTTGTAGACCATCTTCAGTTTCCATTTTGGTGGCTTCTAGAAGAATCTGTCTCTAACTGTGCATGAATCTGCCAATTCCTCACATCAGCTCTGACAGTCCACAGGCAATCTAGTGAGCTGAATTAATTAGGAAATGTTAGGGTTTTTTTTAAATTCTACATTTGGATACTAAGTCATTCTGGATGCTCTTAGGCATCATGCCTGATTGCTCTTAGGCATGTCACAATGTTCTCAGACAAAACAGACAAGGTTTCCAGCACTGTGAGATGAGATCTGACCTTGCATTTATCAGTCAGTTAAAACTTCTATGTGATTATTTGCTTCACTCAACACACTTTTATAAGCTAATTTTGCTAGTGTCTTTATTGCATCCACTTCCCATTTTGACAATGCCCAAGAACTACATGAAATTGTTTCAAATTAATATTGGGCTTGGCGCATCAAACTGATTAGTAGCTGTTACTAGGATTTTATATTCCAGCACTGTGAGCTCAATTGTTTTCCAGTACATTGCATGTATTATTTTACAGCAAAGCTTAAAAGACTTTTTTGCTGCTGAAAGCCTCTTGCAAATTCATTCTGTTTTGACTGGACGACAGGATATCAGCAGGGGATGACTAAAAACCAGCAATAAGAGAAAAAAGTTTCCCCCTAGGAGACTCAGACTCAGCTGGAATGCAGACTTCCCTTTAGATAGGGAAGAATTTTTAATTATGTAGAAAGAATAACTGAAAAAAGAAGAAAATGCAGATAATTAATGAGTGGCTTCACTTAACAAGAGCAAGCATTCATCCGATTATTTTCAAACAGAAAGTAACTATAACAATATTCAGAGTATGAGCAATAAACTACTTCTTCAGGTACTCTTTTCTGTCTTCTAGAATAAAACACCCCAAATTGACTGTGTCACTTAAACTTTTGTAAAGGGAGGAAAATCCTCTGAGTCTTCTTATGCATATTCTGATCAGCTCATGGAAATGTCAGAATCTTCACACAAGTAACTGGTGTGTGAAAGTCTTCAGCATTCAAAGGAAAAGGGAAGAAAAAAGCCTGGATAGTCTGCCTTCACTGTAATCACGTGGGTTTGTAATCAAATGGTATTATCCCAATTTAAACAAGTTGAAGAGCAAGCCCAGAACAGAAGTTAACCAAAGAAATGGGACAGCAGCTGTTAGAACTTGCCTTCTTTGACACAGGGGTGTACTGTTGGCTTTTGTTCATCTTGTCCCACTAAAGCCACCATGTCCTTCTCTGGAAAACTGTTTTTCAGCTGTTGGTCCCCAGCCTGTGCTGGTGGCTGGAGGTTTTCTATTCCAGAATTTCAAATTTGAATGTTTTATTTGGTTTTGTTTGCTTGTTTTTTGTTTTTGGTTTTGTTTGGTTTGTTGTTTTTTGGTTGGTTGATTGGTTTTTTGGTTGTTTTCTTTTTTTTTCATTTTTGAGTTTTCTGGGGTTCTTAAAAATCCATAAGTCAACCTATATTCAACCCTAAACTAACTGATTTTTTATTAGATTAAGAAATAAGTTAAAAATTAAAAGATATTTTTCTTCAGATGGAAAAATTTCTTCCCTGAAAGGCTTGTCAAGCACAGGGACAGGCTGCCCATGGAAGTGGTTGAGCCACCATCCCTGCAGGTATTAAAAAGGTGGGATAAGGTGGATATTAAGATGTGTGGATGTGGCATTGAGGGACGTATTTTAGTGGTGGTCTCGGCAGTGCTGTGTTAACAAAGATCTTATCCAGCCTAGAAAGTTGCATCATTCTGTGATTCTACAGTTCTCAAAAGCATTGCAAAGCTGCAAGGCTGCATTCTGCTAACCACTTAGTAAAGTCTGAATGCAAGTGGTGGTGCTAACAAATAACCCTTGGTTAGAGAACGGATTTCAAGAAACAGAAGGGCAGTAACTCAGACACAGCACTTGAGTTCATCTTCAGAGCCACCATTTTGCTTTGACCAAACAGCAGTGTAAAGATTTCATTTTAGGAGGAAATGTAGGGCTGAGTGAACCTTCTCAAATTTTTTTTTCATTTTTTTTTCAAGCTTCAGGCTACTTAGATCAAACATATTCATACTGAAAGCAGACATTCTTACTCATGAGCCTGATATCTCTCCTTTGTGAGACTTAGCTTTATTCACAGCCTGTAGATATGGGCAGCTACAGCCATTTCAGGGAAAAGGGTTACTGGTATCTTTATCATGATTATGCAGGTATTGCTGCTAAAATATTTTGCTTTTAGGTTCTCCATGGACCTAAATGGACATGGAAAAATGACGGATAAATGATGGTAGTCTAAACAGCCTTTAATCTTCTTATTGGCAAGAATTATACTTCTCTGGGAACTGATGGGATTTTTTTATTCTGCCTGGAATAAAAAAAAAAATATTATCTTATTATTGCTATTATCACTTGCAGCACAGTTTCTCCTGCTGATGGCAAGGGTAATCAAGGTGATGGAAACCCACACACTTGATTCTCACTCAGTGATATTAAAAGATGTGAAGAGGCAAGTCCTGGGCTCCTTAAATTAGATAAACTTCTACTGAAAAAAAAGGCACCTGAAGAGTAATTTACACTTAAGATTAAATTAGGCACATAATAGCCATTTTTTAGTCTGGCTCTCAGCTTATATTTGTGTCAGTTATAATTATGTATGCTATATATATGAACTAACTTTAAAAAAAAATCACATTTTACCCTGCCCAGATTACCAGACATTTAACATAACATATTTATATGACGTGTTAGGAATTTATTGTCACAAATTTCAAAATTTGCTTTACCCTGATAAACTCTCTCTACATACAGATGCATATTCAAACTATTCTGCAGTGCTTCCAAACACTAACTGGGAAAAAAAAAGACTTCAGTGATTAGATAAATTCCCTGAGATGAACAAAGGGACAAGGAAGGTACTTAGAAGACACTGCTGATGCATTTTCAAATGACAAGAACTGTTGGCAGCACCAGAACAAGCAGAAATAAGTGGTCTTGTAAGCTTTTATTGATGCTTGCATTTTTGTGCCTAGATCAAACCTCAGGACAAAGACTGCATCCTTTGGTTAGGTTTTGTTTGTCATTTCACTTTTACTGATTTCCCATTGTTAGTAATCTAGAGCAAACTATACACACTATGCTAGAAATAATGTCTCTGGTCCCTCCTGTGCACACCACAGCAAGGAAGGAATTCTGGTGGAGATGGGCTAACCCACACGGAACACCATCCCACCTTCTCCTAAGAACCCCTGCTTTGTATGTGTCCATTCCTGTGGCTGTCCTGATGTGGACATCTGGGCTGTGATTGATAGATGGAAGCTGAATCTAATGGACAATTGCCTTTCCATTCCAGTTAGCTACATGGCCTTTACTTTCCCTGAGTCATTTACCTTCCATATAGTTTTTCATTACACACATCCTTACACACATTCATGACTGCTAATATCAAGCACTCAGCTGAGTTTTCTCAAAGGTGAGAGGGAAATGTCAGTGAAAATGCACTTGCCTCAAAAATGGAGTCATTTTCTAGGAGCAATTCTCTCTCTTTCTTGGTCTTGAGAGGGAATCTTAAGAACATTTTTCCAGCTTAAGGAGGGGTCATCACTCCTCTAGGCTTATAGTTGGATAAGTTCCTGAACATGAGGAAAAAAGAAACCCACATCAAATCCCCCCAGTCAACGGATTGTCCAAGTCTTTCTAAGATTGCTGGAGCTCAATGAAGTGATACTAAAAACATTAATTCAAGTAACAGTATTAATAAAAAAAGACAAAAAATAGAGTCCTGACCAGTCAGATTTTTGTCATCCCTGACAACTGTATCTCCTGCATTCATGAGGTGCTTTCACTCATGAAAACCTCTCTTAGGAAACCTCAACTTGCAAATATGGAGAAATGACAAGGTTCTGCTTGGTATTTCTGCATGCTTTAAGAGCTGGCTGAAAGACAGTGGTGAGGGCTGAAGTTAAAACAGTCATTAAGGAAAGTGGGATGCTGGCATGAAAAACTAGAGCAACCTACACTCACCCACCATCAGAGAAAGGAGTAACTTACGGTCTTTATAACTGCAACTGCTTTACTCCTTTTTCTGTATCTCCATGGAGCTCAGCTGCAGACTGGCTGGCTGACCTGACAGGAAAGGGAAGATGGGTACTTGTGTAAAAAAAAAAAATTACAGTCACACACTGCCTGTAAACCAGCCCAGCCAAGGTCTTCGGTAAGATCCTCAGGACAACTGAAAGCCAAACCCAAGCTCAAAGCATCTTTATTCCTTCTTGACTGTGAATGGAAACCTAAAGTTAAATCTGGTCTAAAGTCACTTAAGTCAAATCTGGTTTGAGAGCCATGAAGTAGCAGTGCAAGCTACAGCATTTCTTTGACAAGGGTATTGCTAGTGGCTTGCTGCAGTCTTGCCTTGTGTCTCTTGTTGGCACAAAGCCCCTTTGGCAGCTGTGAGGAGTGAAAATTCTCCCTCTAGGCTGCTGTGTGGTCATTTCTATGGAGTTTCTGATCCCTGTATTCTGGTGTGTTTTCCATCTCATTAGAGAAGGTGATACATAATCCTGGGACAGAAGTCTGGCCCTGGTTTCTGGAGACCAAAACACTGCACAGCATAAATATAAAACTGTCAGAGCTGCTTGTGGGATTGCTTCCAGGTAACTCACAGCAGGATGCCAAGGGACTTGGTCTCAGGCAGCAGCTATGACAGATCTACACAAACTTGGTGCCATTGAGATGACACCTACAGCCACACAAACAGCACTCAGAAGAACAATGATCCAGGCTATTTTAACATTAAGAAAAACTACTCCTGATGAGGGACGGGTTATACACTTGCCAAGATCATGGAATCACAGAATCTTAGAATGGCTTGGGTTGGAAGGGACCTTAAAGATCATCTTGTTCCAATGCCCCTGCCATGGGCAGGGACAGCTTCTCTAGACCAGGCTGATCAAAGCCCCATCCAGCCTGGGCTTGAAGACATCCAAGGATGGGGCACACACAGCTTCTATGTGCAACCAGTGCCAGTGTCTCACCTCCCTCACAGAAAATTCCTTCCTAATATCTAAATCTACCCTCTGACAGTTTAAACCATCACCTCTTCTATCACTACATCCACTTGTGAAAAGTCTCTCTCCTGCTCTCTTGCTGGTGTCCTTTATGTTCTGGAAGGTGCTATAAGGTCTCCCCAGAGCCTTCTCTTCCCCAGGCTGAATAATCCCAACTCTCTTTCTTAAACTGTCTTGCGCACGATGAGTAGACCTGGTGTATTGACACTCAGCAGTGAAGAAGCATAATGGAGATACAGATCCTGAAGGACCCACATCTGTCAGAAATACCTCTGTGACATGACACAGGCTGGTGGTGATGGAAGCCTAGGTATCAGATGCCTCTTATGAGTCCTTTCATTGCTTTGAAGTGTTTTTGTGCTGTAATGAAACCAGTTAAGCACAGGGAAATATTTTTAGGCAGAGTGTACAATACTTTAAAATATCTAGAATGAGTTCCGAGTGAAAAATCCTATTTTGGATATACTTTATATAGCCAGATAGGACTTGAAGAATTACTAAAACATCATTTTCACCCCCTTTATTTGCTTTTGGAGATCAAAGTAATAACTTCATAGTAATAGCTTTGTTTGATCATAGTTGAATACTAATAACTTCACTTATTTTCTAGTTAAAATAATCAGAAGAGTTTATATTCTCCTTGAAAGCAAGCTGTGTTGTAGTAGCTGCTTAATGAATTAGCAACACTCACCATCTTGGCTTCTTCTGGTAGGGAGAAAGCAGCTCAAGTTCTTTCCAAGGAAAATAATCCCATTTCTCTACATGTGTCCTTATTTTGTACCACAGTGGAGGAGCTCAGAGGAAAATCGTTGCTTTCCTTGAAAATCGATGTTCATAGAAGTTGTGAATTATGACATCTCAGCATGATCCAGTTAAATTTTTCCAGTTAAGTCAAATATATTGCTTAGTCTTCTGTGTCCTTTACAGACACTCGCACGTAGTGTTTTCTCTTTTTTCATTATTAAATTATGAGATTGTAAAACCAGCATTCAGAATTTTCTTTCAAAAATTCAGAAACTTGGTAAAAAGAGAAGCCAAATAAATTATGAGTTTGAAAATTCTTTAACCTCCACTTTAAGTGCTCCATATTGCAGTGACAAATCATGATCTGATAGTGGGAGACCTTTCAATGTGTTGTTTTTGGGGTTTTTTCCTAGAAATCTTGCATATTGGAAGTGATTTAAGTGTGTTGCATCTTTTTCCTGCCAACTGTTTTCAAACCAGCCAGGCTGATGTGCATGGCAGTTCTGCAGGGAACTCTGCCGTGGCAGTCATGGTGTTTTGTTTCCAACAATAAATTCCTGGTAACCCATTAAGTGGAAGTTTGAAAATGCCTTGAAAGAAGACAGGCCTGTGCTTTCATCCTTCTAAAAGCTGGGGGATAAAGAGTGTGTGCTATCATTGCAGTCATGTGGTATTTATTTCCCATCTAGCTAAATGTCAGCCTTTTAAAAATCCGGCCTAAAGACTCATTTCAACAGGACACATCAAAGTCAGATTCTCAGGTGAGCTGGATGGTGTGGAAAAGTAGAAAACAAATAGCAATTTGCAGACATGGAGAGTATCCAGCTGTGAAACCACATTTCTGTGTTAATCTTAAAGGGAGTTCAAGAAAAGTTGAGAGTTTAATCTGCTCTTTATTCTTCTGGTCTATTTTTGCTTTGGAATGGGCAGAAAGGTGGTTTCACCTTTCAGTTCTTATGCAACAGAACAAATTTATAAAAATGTTTACATTTTTTTCCCGAAGGTTTTTGCTCTGACTGTGCCTATTATAAAAGTGTTGTAACAACAAGAGCTTAAAAAAAATGTTTCTTGCCCTTAGGTTGTGCAAATAGCAGCACTGTGTGCCCTCTGCCAACACGACTCAGTGACTTTTAAGATGAATAAGAGGGCCTTTACAATTCAGTTGGTTCTCCTTCCTTAATAGCTACATTTTCCTAAACCTACCAATTTTTTTTCTGATGAAAAAAGAATTCAAAGGGAAAGAAAAAAAGAAGAGAAGCAAAGAAATGGAGGAAAGCATGGACCACAGGAAAGGCTAGTTCAGTTTCCAGCTCTTTGAAGAAGGAAGCAGAAGGCAGAAAGCAGAACTTTGGAATATAATTTTTTGTTATTTCCTCTGCTTTTCACAGCACCTTTGCTATTTGATCTTTAGCAAAGAGGCACTGTAGCCATTTTTACACCAGAGGCTTGTCTTTATATACCCCTTTTTTTTATACCCCCCTTTTTTTCCCACTGAATGGCAAGAGAAACTACTGAGTGATCTTCAAAACCACTTGCAAGCAAAATGGCAAGCTATCACACCATTGTTCTCGTAATTTTTCTTTCTGAGGCTCACTTTAATTTCTTTCTTTTTTTTTTGAATTATGCTCTCCCTATGAATGCAGTGATACTTGACCTTTAAATATCAAAATCCCTTTGAATGGCATTACTGTGAACTCTGGAGCCCTACACCACATGTGAATGGTTAATATACATAGGAGTCAATGGACATATTTCATCATGCACAGTCAGGCTTATGAATTCATTTTATTATTCCTATCACCTCCCCACCCCCACAAAAACAAATTTTCAGCTAGCTACTGCTATTTTAAGAAGAGAGTAGGGAGAGAATATACTGGCAGGCTGATTGACATAAGTCAGCCAACTCTTCCAGCTAAAGGTCTGAGTCTGCAAGCTGTTTCTTGTGGGTGGATCTCTGTGCTTAGATTGAGAAGCCTGAAGAATTCAAATTGAAATCAGCTACCGCTAAGTTACAAGCCATAAACTCACACTTTAAAAGTTATTCAAGTAAAGAAACACAGAGTGCACTCACTTTACATATTATTATTATTATTATTATTATTATTATTATTATTATTATTACTATTACTATTACTATTACTATTTTCCATTTGCTCCCAATCAGTTTTAACATACAAGTGTTCTCAGTATTTTTTGTGTGCGTTTCTCTCACTTTGGGCAGTAAGAGGAGGAGTACATCTACCTGGACAAAATCCAAAATCTGAGCCAAATATCCTAGCTCTTTCCTTGGAAAGGTATGGAGAAAGTCAGAGCAGGGAAGCCAGAGATGAGAAGGGAACTGAAAATATTCCCAGTACAGTTGACAGTTTCATTCAGGCTCATGTCCTTAACCTAAGGGTGCTTGGCAAGGATTCAGTCATAAGAGATGTTCTGTACCAATCTCAGCGAGGACAAAATAGCAAATTTGGTCCAGTTCTCATGCCAGTAAAGAAAAGAAGAAAAAAGGGCCCTTTCCTCCATCAGTTTCTGAAGCAGAACATGACAGATCTTGAAACCATTAATTCAAAGTAATGGCCATGGCACTCTGCAGAAGAGACTATGCATTTCTACTTGTGGCTGTCCTTTTGACTGCAAAAGTGGACTGCTCTGTTTTAACCTTTGGAGGATCCTTGTCCCTGCAGAGAAGGCATTTAGCCTTCAGGAAGGGAGGATGAAAAACATTATTAACTTACTATGATTTCTCACACTCACTTGGTCTAGACTGGTGGAAGTGGCTGTCACAAAGAATCAGGATCAGGGCTCTGCTGTGCTGCAGAAGCAGTCCATGGCCTGAGCAGCCTGCAGGAAACTAGGCACTGCAGAAATCTGTGTATTACATCTTTCTAGGTGGACAGCCAATAAACCCAAATAATCCCATCTTTTAATGTATGAAAAATATTGCCATGAACAGTTTCCACCATTCATTCAATTTTCTGGTTTCATTTTTCTGTGTTAGAGGACTCTTGCAGGGTTTAACCAGTAATGCCTGTCACGTTGAGTTGAAACACCTCTAGAACATGACAGAATTATAGTGCTTACAACGCCCACAGGAAACAGTTGTTATCCCACAGACAAGTGAGAAATTGAGTCACTGTATCATCATCATCTCCTACAGCCCAGCCGTGTCCTAATTATAACATCATTCCACATTCAGGACTGCCTAAATAAAATGAAGCCTTAAAGGTAAATGTCTCCATACACTGCATTGTCCTGCTGTCTCACATTTGAATTACAGACCCTAGGCTGGGTCACCACCTCAAGGGTGACCTTGGGAGGTGGTGTAGACCAAAGTAAGGCCTTCAATATTCACCTTCAAAAACTTAAAAAATGCTTTATCCTGAAGATCCAGGTCATGGCTATCACTGGAACTTTCCACCCAGCCATGCAAAGCTCCCTCCTGTGTGCTCACTAGTACACACGCTGACCCAGCACTACGTTGGTTTACTGAGTTTCCTCCCAATCAAAGGAGCTCATTGCATTACTTAATGGCCCTTAGAAAGCAAATTTAGAAGTAATCATCTATTCTTAGCTCAACCACTTCCCCTTTTAAAAAGTTTTTCCAAAGAGCCCAGCCCAGATGAATGGGATGTCATCCACGGAGCTTTACAGCTTGCCTGCAATTCCTACCCAGCAGCCTGAAGAAGGTACCCAATAGTTAAAGGTACAATACAGCAACAAGAACGAAATCCCTCTTTTTATGAACCCAAGAAAATCCTCTTCCTGTTAGATAATTGTCACCTGAGAACAAAACTACAGGTATTGCAGATTTGTCTGCAATAATAGTTCGTGAACTGTGGTTTGTCATACACCAGCTTCAAGTTTTCTCATGGAATGCACATCTCCTCCAAGTGAGCAGACAGGCTGTGCATTCACTCCCTACCGAGCACAATTCCACTGGTAATAGTGATGGCAATAGATAATCCCAGAAAGCAATACCTGGATTCCTCCATGCCAAAACCACTGCTTCCAGCAGCTGAAATGGTACCTTCTACCTGAAAATTCAAAGACAAAACCAAGACTCATAAATATGAGTCATTAAAAGTCCATTTTTAAAGTTGAAAATACAATACATATTTTAGAAAAATAAGCATCAACATCTGGCAGTGTATTTTCTTTTTTTCTTTTTTTTTTTTTTTCTGATATCAAATACTGTCTTTATTCCAGAAAAGTTACATGCACATGTTATCTAGACTAACTTCAATTTCCTGCCTTTTCTGCCAGAAAAATCAAACAGTTTCTCTTGAAAATTATTTGCATTTCTCTGGTTTGTGTTTCCACTACCCAGTAAAGAGTCAGATGCCACAAAATAACTTTAGAAGTTGTCATCTTTAATGCTTCCAGCACAGCTTTGGTTTAAAACAAGATGTATACAAATAGGAAATGCTTATTTGATAACAGTGTCATACCTGGAGAGAAAATGTTCCAGTATTTCTACACGCACTGAAGAAGCCTGAACT